CCACTCCCCCACCCAGCCACAGGCTTGCCATGTATTTCCTGAGTGTTCAACTTTCACTGTTTTCCTGGGTGATCAGGTCAGTACTAAGAAGTAAACAGCATGGTGGTTAAGAGACCCTGACTTGCCTGGGAAGGGAGGGCTTGCCCTATGGTAGAGCTACTTTATAACACTGTGGGTAGAAAAATGTTGGTCTTTATAGGTAAACGCAGGGTAGCATACAGAAATGCAGTCAAGCTCAGCAGGTAACATGAATGACTTTGAATTTTTTATCCCAAGGGAAATGGAAAAAAACCATTGAAGGTTTTGAGCAAAGTGACCTGATCTAGGTGGCAGGTGCTCTGCTAAGGGTAAGCATGTTGTTCTAGGAACAAAAAAGGGCTCTTTATCTGGCCTTCCAGAATCAGGAGGCTTCCTGGAAAGTAGCCAAGAGACAAATGTAAAAAGGGAAGAGAGATTAGCTCCAGCTAAGGTCCAGAAGTGAGCTCCAGCATGGAATGCTTAAGAAGTGGACTGTCTGGGCTGGTCACTAAGGGCCTTGTGCAACATGAAGGGATTTGAACTTGCTCCTGAGGGCAGGGGGGAGCCAGCAAAGATTTTTATGGCAGGGAGGAGCATGACAAGTGACACGTCCTTTATCTACACCACTCTGGTGGCTGTGTGGAGGAGGGCAAGACAGGAGGCACGAAAACCAGGTGAGGGAATCCAGAAGTGCTGGTGGCCTGTACTAAGTCAGCATCACAGAGATGGGGAAAAGGAGCCAGATTCCAGGGTAATCACTCAGGAAAAAGCAATAGGAGTTTGTGCTTGAGTGGCTGTTGAGAACGAGAAAGAGGGAAGGGTCCACGATGGCCTCCAGGTCCTTGGGCAAGGAGATAGCTGCCAGCACACAGCAACCAAAGTGATACCAGTGGATGAGATGACTCTGATGGGTGGGCTTCCTCATGGGTGCAGAGAATAGGACCAGACTCACCTATAGCCCACACCCCCAATGAAAAGGTCCTAACTCTGCTTCACCTCCTGATTGGAGCAGGGGCGCTGGGTGAGGCAGCTCTGTACTCTAGGTGACAGTCATGGGTCCGTATACGGTTGTCGAAGATACCAGGCTTTAAAAAAGTAGATTAAAAGGTCCATTCTTTTTGTTCATGGATTTTAATTGCATATTTGGATTTCTGAAAATGAGAAATAAAACCGTTAGATCTCAAGATGCCTCATTCTGGGACAGCCTGACATGTGTCCATTTAGGGTGCAGGGAACCCCTGACAGGAGAGAGTCAGTGTCCTCTGAAAATATTTCACATCTCTTTTGGCTCTCAGGCTCTCTGTCCTACATAGAGATGGTAGCAGCGGGAGGAAGGCAGTGCCAGCTCTGGCTTTCCTGGGGATTCAGGGTTTTGGTAGTGAAATACAAGCATCCTGGCTGCTGATACCTGTCGGCCCCCAAGTTTGGAGGTGGTGGGAGGAGGCTGAGGGCAGGGGTGATGAGCAGGCTGTGCACCTGGCCCCCTGAGTACTACTTTGAGGTTTAACAGCCACATTGGAGAAGGTACCTTTAGGAGACTGCAAGGCTGAAACTGTAGTGGAATGATAGGGTTTAGATCATCCTTGAGACAGCCTGCTAGATTTGGATCAGCCCACTAGATTTTTGTTAGTGTTATACATAGAAACTGGTGTCAATCAGACAGACCCCGTAATGGCACAAGGTGGCAAGGTAACCAATAGCAGGAGGACGTGCATTTCATTCCATTTGGGCTGGACTGCCATCCCCCTCCCCAGACTATACTGAAGTCTGATGGACTCAACTGTTGGACCGACCCATGGATATGCAAATGCTTTTATAATTTATCAAGACAAGAGGACAGACACCCATCACCCTTGGCCTGTTTCTAATCTCCCTGGTTCATTTCAGTTTTTCAGCCTTTGCCTGGCAGGGAGATGGGCTCATTTGCATTACTATCCTACTACTTTACATCTTTTTGGATCTGGGCTATTCCCCTTGAAGCTCACTTTAGAAGAACTGAGTCAACAAAAGCTTTGTGTGGAACTCAAACCGTCACGCTCAGTAACAGTGTTAAGAAAGAACAGAGCTAACTTTGAAATGATGTTTTAGTTTCTTGTTTTGTGTGTAGGAGGACACGGAGGTGTGTTTGGTGGATATATTTGCTATGGGAAAAGTGTCCAGGAGTGGCTTTTCTCTCTCTTGATTATATTTGTGGTAAAGTTGCCAATAATCAGGATTTACATAAAATAAAAGACCCTCAGAGAATATTTGAAAATCTTCTCTTTCCTGTGTCTGTATCCTGTAACCACACTAACAAGACTTCTTAAGGTTGGAGATTGAGGAAAGCGAATTACAGATGGTTAATAAATACTGGAGATGGAGTAGAAACAACTTCACTGTATAATATGGTCTTCAATGTGCGAATGAGGATGCCCTTAGATGTCCTTTTGTACAAAACCCACTAAGCCGTGGTCACCTTAGCCATGAAGCTCCTCTACGTCACAGGAGAGGATTGAAAGATACCATATAATCTCAGGTGAAGGAGAGCCCTCTAGTGGAAAATTGTCAGGGCAGGCAGCAGCGCAGGAAAAAAAGCAGAGGTCAAAAAAGGAACGTTAGATTTAGTCCAACAAGTTGAACTGCATCACTGACGCATGATGTGACTGACTAACTACATCCTCGTACTGATTTGAAAGACGTTTATCAACAAGTCTGCCTTGTGGAACTGTCAAGGATGTATTGAGGCTTGTGCTAAGCAGGTACTCAAATTAAAATCATTATTCCAAGGACATGCAACGTTCCTCATAGCCCTCACCCTAAAAAGCTTGGGATGGGCCAGATCAGGGAGCAGGGGATGCATTTTGGTAATAGATTTAAAAATCGAGTCTAAATTAGCTGAGATGATTCCCACCTCCCACCCCCACCTCTACCCAGGGATTGTTAAAATAGGGTTTGACCATTGTTCCAGCTACTTCTTTAAACAGAATGCAGTTCACTGTATTGTTTATCTTGTAACTAAGAAGAAAATTCTAAAGTGCTTTCTCCCCCTAATGCCTGACCATAATACATGCCTGAGATTATAATACCAGATGTTTACAGAAATTTTCATGCTCTCTTGGTCAGATTTAAAAATCTGAACACTTTGCAGTTTAAAATGAATTATTGGTATTAATGATGTATAGAGAGAGATTTCTAAAATCATGTGTGGGGAAATACCCTGCTGTACTCTGCAATTCACACATGCATTCTTTAAAAAAAAAATGTGTATCGTTAGGGTTGAGGCCCTTGCTCATAGCTCTATTATTGACCGTCATCCATGAGCCCCTTTCAAAGGGTCAGAAAGCATGTTTCCAGGCAACAAGAAAGTGACTTTGAAGCTTGTGCCCTTCAAAGCCTGTGTAAGATACATCGCCAACCAGCGCGGTAGAACTGGAGGGTGAAAATGCGGACTCGGCACATTTTAGCTAAAACCACAATTGCCTATGTTTCAAGTCTGTGACACTGGAGAGTCTCTAACTGTCTAGTTGGCAAAGCTGACTTGTCATTTTCTGACAAATAGCTGTATGGAGAAAATGGCTATAGCAAGGGCTTCAAGGACCATCTAAGGTCTGCTACCTTCCTTGCAGCCTGCCCAGTGTATTATGCATCCTGAATCTAGTTCTTTCATTCACTCATTCATCCACTCATTCTTTCATCCAGTTCTTGAGCCTAGTTTTTGAGCCACTTTTTGAGCCTAACTGGGGCCAGGTTTTATTCTCCGGAGATACACTGATGAACAAAACAAACAAGACCTTTTTCCTGATAGGGAGTCCTGCAGAGGTGGTGATCCTTCACCTCATAACCAAAATTGGAAATTTTCCAGGAGGAAAGATAAATATAAGTTTATACACAGTGATAAAACTTACAGAGGAAAAGGAATATGGTGCCCTGGGAGAGAACCCTGGGTGGCTTTATTCAGACTAGGGGTCAGAAAAGACCTCTGAAATGGTGATGTTTAAGCTGAAAACCAAAGACACATGGTATTCCCTGTACAGGAGGTGCTTAAAAAGTATTCTTTGCTTTGAGAAATGTTTAACCAGCTCTCAGGTCGTCCTAACTGCAGAGGATCCTCCTGGCTGTGACTCCCAGTGCAACCTCACCCTTTCCTTATTTGCCACCAGCCGGTGTATGTTCTTTCTGGTGCTCTCAGGTTCTGGCAGCCCCTGGAGACCCTGCCGTGTCAGCATAAGCTATAATGGAAGTGAAACAGTTGGCCCTCAGTGCTACTTGCAGAGATGAACAAAGGTTATTCTCATGAATATATATATTACGAAGCGTTTCAGCAGTCTACAGAACACTTATCCTAACCATAGGATCCTGCCCTTAATCGCTGCCGTGGTGCAGAGTAAAAAGCAGGTGGCCTTTGGAATTCAGCAGATCTGGATTTGAACCTAGCCCTGTGACCCTGAACAGAGACTTCATAGTCTGTTTTGTCATCTGTAAAATGAAGGTAAACTCACTGGAAACTCACAAGGTTTTGTGAGGATTAACAGAATGCACCCAGGCACAGAGGAGAAGGCAGTCACCAAACCTTCATTGCAATCCCCTGGACATCTTTCTTTCTGGATTTGGTCCAGGAGAGGACCTGGGGATACCAGGCAGGGTGATTATTCAGAACCTGGGAGCAAGGGTCAAGAACACACAGGCAGAAGCCCAGGTAAGTGGGTGGGGCTTACCTAGAAGGAGGAAGAGGGGCTATGCATTAGGGCTTCTTAAGACCTATGGGAGTTGGAGCACAGGAAAGAGTCCTTTCTAGGTCCCCAGGGACAGGGATGTACACAGGATAAGAGGTAAGTCCCCCTCGAGACCCGAGACCCATAGGTAACTGCTGGAGAGATGGGCAGGGTTGGGCAAATAGGGAAGGCAGTAAACTACAGGAGGAGAAACTTACTGCCAATAAGACATATGGCTTATCTATGAACGTTACGTGCGATTATGATCGAATCCCTTTTAATCCCTTACAGATAAGTACAGATACTTCCAGCTTGAGAAAGGCAGATCCGAAAGGTCGGAGTGCACTGTTGGCTGATATCCAGCAAGGAACTCGCCTACGAAAAGTCACGCAGATCAATGACCGCAGTGCCCCACAGATCGAGAGTAAGTGAGCATCTGGGCCAGGCCTGCTGAGAGCCAAAGGCAGGCCGCGTGAGGCTCAGCCAGTCACCCCAGGCTTGTTTAGGGCAGGGGCCACAGTTGTTACCCAGGACACATATCAGGCCATCTGAGACCTGCTCAACGTATAGTCCACATGGGCAAGAGAATCAGAGCTACCCTTCCAGGGCTGCAGATGGTTTCTAGCATATCTACCATCTCTTTTCAAATGCTTAAAAAGAAACTTTATAAGATAACTTCTAATTGTGGTAAAATACACATATAAAATTCACCATTTTAACCATTTTAAAGTGTCCAATTCAGTGGCATTTATACATTCACAATGTGATTGCAACCATCACTAGTCTAGTTCCAGAATATTTCCATCACCCCAAAAGGAAACCCCATACCCATCAGTATTCCCTCCCTACTCCCTCTGTCCCCCAGTCTACTAAATCTACTTTCTGTCTCTATGGATTTGCCTATTCTGGACATTTCGTATAAATAGAATCATACGATACGTGGCCTTTTGTGATTGGCTCCTTTCTCTTCACATAATATTTTTACAGCTCATCCATGTTGTAGCAATGTATCAGTACTTTCCTTCTTTTTATTGTTGAATAGTAATTCATTGGATGGATGTACCACGTTGTGTTTATCCATTGTGTGGCAACATTTAAAGATCACTTGCCCTGTGTCAACATAGTCCTCAAACTCAGTGAGAGAATAATTAAAGTCTCACAGGATCATATGACTATAGGTTTCTATGTCTTCTAGAGTATGATGGTTTAGAAGGAGCCTTGTGCTTGGGTCAGATGACCCATGTTGAGTTCTGATTCTGTTACCAGACAAATCAGGAAACCTCCCTGAGCTTCAGTTTGCTCATCTGCAAAATGGGGGAGATAATAATACCTGCCTGCTTTTTTTGGGTCAAGATTGTTGAAGGTTTAAATAATATATGCAGAACTATTTTTCAGTGTAAGGTATTATGTTTCCATATATTTTGCAATGATGCATAATGGTAATTCTCAAAAATAGTCCTAAAATTAATTGTATCCAGTATCTGTAATTATATACGTTAATACGTAAGGGTAGACAAATTATTTTAAGAAATATTTTCAATATTGATTACAATAAAAATTAGTTTCTGGCTAGACCCACTATCTAATTAGTTAATCCCAATTAACAGATAAATCCATTTTATTGGACCACACACTTGCTTATCATTCCAGTGAAGAGGTAATGTGTACTGTTAATACTCGGAATAATCTGGCCACATTCATCCACCAGGGGGCATTGCGCCATGATTTCTCTGTGCATATTAGCTTCAGGCTATGAACATTTTCTGCCAGGAATTCTTGTAAGCTGAATGTCTTCTCATTTTATGCAGTTGGTAATCACACACATCTGGAAGTGAGTGACTTCTAGAATTAGTGACACCTCTTCTCAAGGGCTCATGAGCTCTCTCCTCCATAGGGAAAAAAAAAAGGTGCAGGGAAGAGCGCAGGGCTCGGGGAGTGGGAGCTGGGGAGACAAAGAAGGAAAATGCCAAAGCAGAAATCACTGCAGACCTTTGCTTCTTGCTTACAAGTTCCGGGCCAGGCTTCATGGACAAGAAGTTAAAATTACTGCCTGCATCAAATCGGGGGATTTTCTTGGTCTAGTCCTCCCACAAGAGTCAAGCTGAAAACACAGCAAGCTCTATACCTCCAGTGTTCGGGTTTTCTAACTTGAAGGGTCCTGCTAGTTCCCCCTTTGGCATCTACTAAATGGCAGTGCAGGGATGCCTTGCTTTTGATCCCTTTCCAGAGCGGTCACTACTGATGGTTCTTTGGTGGCCTGAAGAGGGGGACAGACAGGCCTAGATATGAGTTTACAGGGCATCAAGGCAGAAGTGCTTGAGAAAGATACTGAGGAGAAGGGTAACACTGGAGGCGGGAGAAGGGGAAGACAGCCGTGGGCAGTGTTAGACCACGGCTGGGGTGAGAGTTGGAGGCTCAGCTCTACTCACACACTTGCCTCTTCTCTTTAAAGATTCTAAAGGAACCAACAAAGAAGGAGGAGGTCCTGCAAACTCTCGAGGCGGGAGCACACCCCCAACCCTGGGAGATCTGTTTGCTGGTGGCTTTCCGGTGTTACGCCCAGCAGGCCAGAGGGATGCAGCAGGTAAGGAAGGGTTCAGGCTGGCTACCTTCTGACCCCTGTCTCCTTACCTTGTGGAACCAATGGGGCAATCCTCACCTGCCAGTAAAGTGACATGTTTAGAGTGACAGTCAGGTAGTAGGAGATCATGTATTGGGTAGCCTAAGCACCGGAAGTTTCCAAGACACAGAATTGTTTTTAAGGGATCTTTGAAATCCTCATCCTGTTTAAATCATCCTACTGTAATCATTGAAGAATGAGTTACCACAGTGTAGAGTGTCTAGCAGTGGTGTGATGGTGGCTCATGTCAGTCACAGTAGATGATCTTAGAGACATCACTGCAGACTCACTGGCAATGGTGAGTGGTCATGATTCTCCATCATCATATCCGTTCAGTATTGCTGTGTAACAAACCCTACATGTTAGGGACTCTAAATAAACCATTTATTTAGTTTACAGCACTATGGGTTGGCGGTTAGGGTGGCCCCAGCTGGGCCGCCTCTAGCATCTACCCACAGGGTAGGTGGCTTTGCTAATGTTACATTTCTTGTATCTCTGGTGCTTCCGCTGGGACAGCTGGCCTGACTGATCCATCTGGTCTCTCAGTATCTAGCAGACTGTTCAGGCTTGTTTTCATAGTGGTGGCAGGGCTCCAGCAGAGAGGACAGTCCTGTGCCCTGGGCTGGGAGACTGGAGTCCTTGGCAGAGCAGGGCAGAGGTGGAATGAAACAGGAAGGCTGGTGCCACACAGCAGACAATCTGATCGCTTGAGCTGGGCTTGTCTCAGAGGACAGCGCGTTTATGCTGGCAGGAACCTTGGGGCTGGTCCAGCTGGCCGTCTTGGGTGACAGCTGCTGCACCTGAGGCCTGCAGTGGACATGCGGGAAGAGAGTGTCCACCATGCAGTTCACTGACATCATGCTGGACAGCGACCGTCATCACCACCCACACCCTTGGGTTTCTCCTACTTCTACCCGCTGAGCTAACTCAGAACTTGTTTCACTTCCAGGTGGCAAGATAGGGCAGGGCCCTGGCTCCCGAGCGCCTTCTCCCCGGCTTCCCACCAAAGCTATCAGCAGCCCACTCAACGCCCCGGCATCGCCCAGGCTAGGCAATGCCTCGGAGGCTCATGGCGCTGCCAGGACAGTCCCCCCTCGCCCCAGCATGCCCGCCCCGCCTCCTCCCACCCCGCCCCCACCGCCCCCGCCCTTACCCCCACCCCTGCCCCCGTCCTCCCCCATCAAAGCCCCGCTGGTGTCCCCACCTGGCCCACCAGCAAAAGGGAGCCCCCCGGTGGTTGCATCCCTGGTGGTTGCACCCTCTCTGCCCTGCACACCTCCCCCTCCGCCTCCACCACCTCCGCCACCTCCGCCAACTCCACCCCCGCCGCCCCCCGCCCTGGTTCCCAGTGACAAGGCAGTGAAACCTCAGCTAACGCCTTTGCATCTACCGCCCATCCCGCCCCCGCTCCCTCTCCTCCCACCTTGTGGGTATCCGGGACTCCAAGCCGATGCTGCCAGCCCTGCCCAAGATGTTCA